TAGGAACTGCAAAAAATAGAAACCACTTGTGGTATATGATATCCATTATTTTCCCACTTCAACTTAAAGTGGATTACAGGATTCATAGGATTGATTCAACATAAATGAATAAATAAATACATCTGTAGCCCTAAGGAAAAAACTCATATTTATTATCTTAACATATACAAAAAGGATGAGAGCTCATAAAAGAATATACATTCCCATTGATATTCTTGGTTTTTAATTTTATCTAAAGTAAAAACATCAAGAAATGTGATTTGCGTTTCCACAGAGTGAAGCAATCATTATATCTGTTCTTAATAAAACACACCCTATCTCTCCCCTCTTTAAAAACACTAATCAGAATATAACAGCGTGTAGATAAACCAATCTAAAATTCATTAAATACCTTCTCATAAAAGTGAATGGAAACACTAAAAATCCAGAAGCTACTATAACTAAACTAGGAAGGACAGGAATGGAAGCAGCACCTAAATGCTGGGACGGCAGTTCCCATAATGAGACATTTCCATAAAAGCTTTTTTTTTAGAAGTGGGAGTGGACAGATAAATGAGGGCCAAATGTATGACAATCACAATAATAATATAATACATGAAATTATTTAATTAAAACATTAACATATCATAAAATATAGCATATATTATTCATGTTAAAGAGATAGAAATCATAATATTCAATATCAGTGTTTAACAGCAAACCCTTCATAAAAAAAACCCTCTTTTCTGTCCCTCTCATACAGAAACCAAAAGAAGATTACTAATGTTCCTGAAATCAAGGGTAAGTACTGTCTATTATAAAGCAGCAGAATTGTAAAAATAACTTTAGTATCAGAAAAAAAAGTTGGATGCAATGCTAACTTCATCTCACTTAGGAGCATGGGAAGCTGGAGCAGATGCCCTTGTCCTGAAACAGCCTATGCCACTATGATTTTCTCTCATCTTTGGTTCAGTTTTGTTAGGCCAGTGTTTTTCACCATAAAATAATGGAAGGGGAGATGAGAAGTCTACCTCACTGAGATTATGAAGGATCAGGCTGTCACAGGCCTTTTTGAGAAGGACAGACTTACTCTGAGAAGCTGATGGTACTGGCTTGTACCAATGGACTCAATAGAAATCCCATGCATTTTCTCATGGGTTCAGCTCCAGTACCTCTCAGGGGCCAAACAAGAGGAGTGTTACAGCACTTTAAACAGCCAGCATCTATTGTTTTACAATACAGCCACCCCATTGTATTTGATTTAAGTTTAGTCAAATTTATGTATTTACTGTAAGGCAGTCTAATGTACTATGTATTGGGAGTTATTTTTCTTTCTATAGAAACATCTCATAATTCATACTTTAAAGCTAATGCTAAATATACATATAAATTTAAAATGTAATGTTCCTGTTCATTAAAAAAAATACTTTTTTGCAAAAGCTATTAATAACTTCAGATAATTCCCCAGACACTTAGCTGAGGTTAATCCTTGCAAGTCATTTTTTTGTTGATTTTATATTAATTTGCACTTCTGTTTTAAAAAGTCCTTGAGACTGATCATACAGCAGTCAAAATAAATGGAGTCACAGAAGTTCATTTATGCACAGGAATAAAAAGGTGATGCCATTGATTCATTGAGCTTCACCTGCTCATATTTAAAAACAAAACAAAACAGAACAACAGAAAAAAAACCTCACCCACTGAAAATTTTAACATTCTTTATTGTGTTATTTGTGTTCCAAACCTTCTGCTCACCTAAAGTGAGAACAGGCTTTGAAAAATGTGAGTTCTCTGGCCCAAACAGAAAGAAATCTATAGAATATACTGCTGATTTTGTCATTGGATTTCTGACCCAACCAAGGCTGCAATATAATCCAACTGCAGGGGTTAAAAAACAAAAGAAAAATTAATCTCTCAGAAATAAAATTTCTGATTGCAAAAATGGAGCAAGGCTTGATAAATGCTGGAGATATTTTATCTCTGGAAGACCATAAAGAAAAGGTTTCCTATGAGCCTTTCATTCTCCCTCCTTTGCCCTTTACAGGGCTTTTTATTTTCTTCTATTCAGTCATGGCTGGAAGCCAAAAGATGTGGAGAGGGGAGGACTGGCATATAAATCCTCTAACCTGCCTCCCAGGAAAAAAATTTGCATCCAAATCTGCATCTTTGCCCTGACAACTGTTGGAGTTGTCGCACTGAAAGCTAACTCTTAAAATGATGGCTCATTTCTCTCTGCCTCCCTTTCCCCGTGATGTAGAGGAAAAAAAAGAGAAAGACTCCTAGTTTATCTTCTGGGTGATAAACTGACCTGTTCCTGTACCCCATCCTCATTACTGATGAGCTGAGAGCTGATCACAGGACTGGAAGAACAAGTAGGTCCATGATATACTAGCTTTTCACCAGATGCCTGTGAGTCACCAGTGTGATGCAGCCACGGAAATAACTCATGCAACCAGTCACAGTCTTTGCAGACGATCGACAAATATTATGGCCATAGGGCAGGACATAAGGGACATCATATCTGGAGTGCGGTATAAGGTGCAGAAGTAGTCACAGTCAGGGAAAAAAAGTCAAACTGGGACAGATTTAGAGTAAGGCTGCCTCCCATTAGGACGGTATGGAAACAAGCCAGGGAACCTGATTAGCGAATGTCTGAACTGAGCAATGAAGAGCAGTGCAGAGAGCCCTGAGCTGCCATGGACTTTATCTGCTCTGGAAGCAGTATATCACCGTGTGGTGCTGATGGGCTGTATTTATTATCTTAAACTGCATTAAAGTGGATGAACTGCTTCTGGCCCTGAGCTGGTATTGCTGCAGCACAACAGGTAGACATATCAGCTGGAGTCAGCAATTGCTCAGGAATCTCTGCACCAAATTTCACTGCACTGGATAGACATCTCCTGTATGAGCTTGGCTTGTGCATTCAGGCAAAATGAAAGCTGTCAGGGCATATGATTGCTTGCTATAAATACATCGAGGAGAGGAGGGGAAAGAGGGGGCTGACATCAGGGCTGGAAAAGAGCGATTTAAATTAGGGGATAATGCTGGCACAAAATCAAATAGATACAAACTAGTTAGAAATAGGTTTAGGCTGGAAATTAGAAGACAGTTTCAAACCATCAGAGCAGTGAGATTCTGGAGAGCTTTCCAACAAGAGGAAGAGGGCCAAAAAGCCTAATTACTTTTAAGATGAAGTTTAAACATTTGTGAGAGGGGTTATATGACATGACTGCCTGAGGAAGCTGGATAAAATTCAGTGACTCAGGATGTTCTTCCTAAATTTATATTCCTCTGAACATTTTGCCACCACTTCACAAGCCTCTTGGTTCTTCACAGTAGGTCACTAGGTTGCCCTAATCCACTCAGACAGCTCGGATCTCTCTTACACTACACCAGCACTGGTGCTCTCAAACTCCCCACTGGGGAAAAACCCTATACCTACTCCTGTGAAATTGCTCCCAGCCACAGAACCCACTCAGATATGAGTTCCCTTTGTCTCTGATGCATTTTCATATTAACCATAGTCTGAGCTTCTGTTTCCTGTGAAATGGTGGAAGGCCTTAATGTCATGCTTCTTGCAAAATTTTGTCTTCTGCGAACAGAATGCAGGTTGTTTGTGATGTTGCCCTGATCTGAATCTCTGCTGCACTGGTGACATTGCAGTACAAAGACCACAGCCAAGCACCCCAATCTCTCTTCCTTTCTTCAGTGAAGGGGTTTGGCCTTTCTGAGACCCTTTTCTTCCCTCACTAGCCCCTTCAATCAAAATAAGGCGGGGGGAAGTCATTTAGCTAAAAGGATTTTGTGTCTATTTAAAAGTGACAGGTGAGAGTTTGGATCTGGCCACATAAGTAGTTTATATCTTGTCTTTTCACTGAAGCTCTTGGTAGTTCATGGAGCTTTTTTTTGCCTTTTTTTAAAAACCCTAGTTTCTACAGGTAGCTTCACATGACAACCTCAGCATCTAGTAAAAATCTTTGTAGACATCCAACCTGAAGCAAAAAAGTCTGACAAAAGTTCAGGTTGCACCTTAGGTAGTCCAGAAAAATAGAAAGTGGGTAAAACACTATCACATTCAATGCTCACAATTCTGCAGGGGCAGATCAGGGAGTATGGAGTGGCAGTGCTGCCACACATTCTCCTGCAGCTGCTATGGTTTCTATGCTGTGTCCTTTAGGAAAAAGAATAAATCTCCGTTTATGGCCTCTTGAGTTTTAAAGCATCTCCAGGCTAGTGATACATAACTGTTACTATAACCACTTGGGTCAACCAATGTTTCCTTTTCACCATACCAGTGACACAAGTGTAAATGCTCCAAAGTTCATCTCTCTTTGAAATCAGATATCATATTCCCCAACATTCTTCTAGTAAAAAGATAAATTTATCTTTTGATTCACAGTGTGGTATTGAAAGACAATGAAGTGAACTCCTGTTCACTCAGTCTCACCACCTTGAGCTCTTTCCTACATCACAGGTACTTATAATTTTCATGCTCACAACAATGTATTCAAGTGCCTTATGAAACTGGGATCTTAGTGTAGGGTCCATCCTGAGCCCTCTGGACAGCAGGACCTGACCTACACCTATCAGTTTTCCAGTCATATCTTGGTTGATTTCCAGAATGTGTGTGTACAAGGACAAAAGGACCATGGTGCAGACCTCCTCAGCCAAGCACTTAAGCTCTAAGGAAGTCTCCACAGTGGCTACTGTTCAGCACATTGGAGAGCCTACAGTTTGGGACTAAAAGATGCATAGGTTCATCTAGTGGTTGTGTACTAAAATAATCTGTTCATTGGTGAGCTTCATAGCTAGGGGAGAGATGGGTGTTTCCAAAATCTTAGTCAGAATTTGAGTGGGTAACATGCCTTCTGGAAATGATTGTACAGGTAAGGAATTGTCATTTTTTCTATCAAATAAACAGTTGAACATGGTGTTGGGAAATAACTTTACCACCCCAGTTTTTTCAAGTATTTTCTTGATCTCTCAAACTTGGCTTTCAATGATAAAACTCATACACTGTATGACTGAATGCAAGAGGTTAGTTAAAAAAGTATTTATTTTCTATTTTTTTCTGTTATGTTCCATTACAAAAAGAAACAAAACAAAAACATAACAAAAACAAAACAGAAGATAGCATTTTATTAGTGGTACATTAATGAGCTTAAACAACTAGGTGACTAATGTTTGTCACAAATACATATTACAAACAACCACAAAACCATAACTAAAAATAAAATAAATAACTTGAATATTTTTCTTAAATTTTTAATATTTATAAAATATATAGCACTTTCTATTACATTTTTTCAGTCATTTTTATCCATAACAAATTAAAACTTATGACACATATTGCAAATATGCTAAAGGGATAAGAATAATTAAAAAAATCAAAGTTCCTGGAGGTATGAAATAGTAAATCGGTTAATGTTTATCAATTTATTATTGTATATCCAGATTGTGCATATCCTGCAAAAATAGCGATTTCTTCAACTAATATACATATTTTTCTTTATAATATTATAAGATTAAGTTTTTAAATGTAAAGCTTCATGGATTTATGCTCTGTTTTATAGTTGTGCCTAATATGTCACTTTCATTAATATATATTGAATATCTTCCATTAGTATATACTAATATATATACACGCACACACACACACACACACTATGCATTATATATTAGTATATACTGAATAATAAAAGAATTTCTATAATATACAGTTGGGATTCTTGCGGAGAAAGTTGTTGAAAGTAGAAGGCATGTATACCATAGTGAAAACTGACTAAGTTATATAAATGAAAGCATTTAGGTTTACATTGTTCAATGTATTTTAATAAATTATGTAATGTACGGTAATAATGTACAGAATTCAAACAGAAATTTCTTTTTATTCCTGTATTCCCATGCTTTTCTCTATGATTCCAACAGCGTATGAACCACTATCTCTGCGAAACTTCCTGAAAACCTGAAAATGGAGTCAAGCAAGTAGAAATGTGTTGACATTTACAGACCTTACTCCAGGAAAATACTAAAATTGCACTTAAGAACCCTCCATGTCAGGAAAGCACTCAAGCTCAGATATGACTTTATTTGTTTTAACCTGAATGTTAATCATGCACTCAAGCACTCTTACTGATACATGGATGCCCTTGCCATAATCCTTAATAATGTCCTCTGACTGTAGAAGAGGTTTAGAGGCTCCATTATGTAGCTGAGAGTACACCTTTGCCTTCTGTCTGAGCATAGAGGGTGAGGGGACAGGGACATACGCCTGGGGACCTCAGAGCAAATATTCAGGTGACTATCTGTGGTAGATGGGGAGAAAGACACAGCAGGGAGAGAGCTGACCAGTACAGGGTAGCCAGCTTGTGGCCAGTACTATCCCTGTGTGGCGAGGGAAAAAGGTGATGCAGAATAACCTGCCCTGGGCACCCATGAGCCTTCCATTCAGCCCCTTACCACAATGCAGCATCCCCCTTCAGGCACTAAGCTCTGGAGGGCTGTCCTGTGAAGCTCAGCTTTCTAGGGTCCTTCAAGAACCCATGGTGCACAAGCAGCAGCTGCTGCAGAGACAGGAACAGCTGGCACCAGGAACTGGCAGCTGTGTTAGCATCTTAGAGGGTTTGTTTCTTTGGACTCACTTCAGCTGGGCTGCATGGTCTGAAAGCCCATCAGGACCTAGAATTTATATAGGTGTGATGCTCACCTAGTTTCACCCTAAAAAACCCAGTTCATGCACTTAAATATAGATCTGAGATATGAAGAATAGCACAGTGAGTGGCGCTTCAGAAGCACATTCCCTTTCAAATGAAAACCCTAATGTATATTCACTTCTACCTCCTTAGAAAGAGAGACACATGCACATTCATGCACCTGCCAGAGGCCCTAACTACCTTCCCACCTTGTATTTCCCATCTGACACCCTACCTTAGGCATCTTTCCCATCTGACACCCTACCTTAGGCATCTAAGGCAGGAACTTAAATTTAGGAAGGTTGAGTGAGTGTCTCCCATGTTTGCCATCATGCAGCACTGGTCAGAGGTGCAAGCCCAAAGTTTGAACTCATGATTGCTCAAAGTTTAATATTTTAAAAACAGCTTAAACTTTTTTTTTTTTTTTTTCCTAGTTACTACACTTCTTCAGAGACCAGACCCTGTAAGGAAGTGAATCTTTCTTTTTGGCATAGGGAATATTCCAGGGTACTAGACGATGATATGTAGCAAAGCTGCTGAATTCTAAGGGCAGCAACTGTACATTCATAAGATCTTCAGACTTTTTAGTATTTTGTTTTAGGTAAGAAACACCTTAAGGCATTGAAAAACCAAATCACGTTTAAAATAATAGGCCTACCTACCTGTTCCAGTGTTTAACTACCCACTTTGGTGTTTTGATAAAGTCTAAGCGCACAAAGTACATAAATATATTTTTGTGGAATCAAGATCTAATGTGGAAAAGATTATTTTTCATTATTATTATCTCAAAGCATATTGATACTGTATATTATTTTTTTTATAGTCTTATGAATTCTATTTTGAATGGCCAAAATTTCAAATCACTGGTTTTCAAAAATAACCCACTTACAACTAGTTTGTCTCCACAAACTTCTTCCTGCACTTAATTAACAAAATAAAATGGCCAACATTTAAAAATATCCTGATTTTTATTTCAAAGGTGCATTCATGCTGCGGGAATGCAAAGCTCTTTTGAAAATCTGGAATTGTATTTTTAAACAGATGTAGGAAGTTTCATTCACTGATGATATCCAGAATAGCAAGTATTCAAATCTGTAACACTTTCATAATAAAATTATGGTAACACTACAACCTAGCATATGGTTTGTTCTGTGAAGGTCAGATCATCTAAAATTTCCATATGAAGCAAAGCAAATCAACCCAAATGTATTTAATTATACTTAAGACTACATATTTTTGGTATACTATATAACACCACTTCAATAGGCACAGTACTATAAAGATTTTTTTTTATTAAACTTATTTAAGAATATCATAACAAAGTGAACAAATTATATTTTATGCTATGGGTTGCTTGGTTTTCTTTTTTGTTAAAATATTTGCTTTCACTTGCATACCGATTTTTAGCAAAAGCTGACAGCTCATTATAATTTTCTTCTTTCATTATCACTGGGCTGCATTGACTTACAAAATACTTTAACTCATTATTTGTCACATGTGAAATGAGAAGTTGCAACATAAAGCCTGGGGTTTGACACATGCCTATGAAGTTCATTATGCTTTAAACACAGGAATCTCCTGTAGGTATCTAAATGAAAAATATAGCTATCTAATAATTTTCTAAATTATATTTTGCTATTTCAGGATTAATTGCAACACAGAGTTTAAATTTTTCCCTCTTTGGTTCAAGACTGAATTTCTGACCAGCTTGCTCTAAACGGGCAAGCCTGGACACAGAGTCACCTCTGAATGTTCTGTGAGATCAGTGCACAAACATCTGCTGCATTTACGAACCAACGCTGACCTGCAGTCAAGGCTATGGCATTTTATATTCTCACAACATCACTTTGATCTTCTTGAAAATAAAAGTATTGATTAAGCCCCACCAGTTTAGCTCTGAAATACAGGGGGTTAGAAAAACTTACAGGCCAATGTTTGTCTCTTAAATGTTAAGCATTTAACGTCCAGTTACAAAAGTCTCCTTGATGAACACAGCAGTTCTACAATCAGAATATGTGACAGAGATCTCTAGGATACCCTGGCGGAGTCCCAAAAGTTCATGTCATTACCTCAGTTCTGCACAAGTTTTTTTGGGAGGCTTTCATACCATGGAGTCCCTTAATCAACAGCAATGTGCAGTGACATACTTTCTGCTGGTTTGGGTAAATGTTATGTTCATTTAGGCAGATTAAACCACATCCCTGAAACAACTCTCAGTTTCAGTGGTGCAACTCTGCAACAAAGGATGAATGGTTGAAGGAAAACCATTCAACTGGCAGCTGGGGAGTTTTAGGGGCTGCTATTAGCGGCAGAGCAGTCACTGAGGTGCTCGCACACACCAGCACCGTAAGAGCTGAGTGCCACAGCCACACAGGAGAAGAAAGGAGGTGATTCAGGAGCAGTTTCACGGAGGAGGAGAACCCTCATTAACAGATCTCAGGCTCCTGTTTTCAGCATTGTCAGTGTTCTGTCAAAATTTGTTTCCAGCGTATGCTTTCTCGACAAGGACAGTTGGCATTGCTAAACCCCTTAGATTGCTGTAGCTTTGGATTCAAAATATCTTGGGGTTTGTACTCTCTCGGGAACAAACTCCAGATCCCATGGACAGCCATGACAGTTTTATGTGTCGTTCAGAGAACAGGATGTGACCCCTTTATTTAGGGATGATTCATATAAACAAACACATGATGGCGACTATGAAAATGGTGGATTTTGATGACACTGAAAGCATTTAATAGCTGTATTACAACATAATTCCATTCTATTTAGCATGGAAGATAAATGTGTAACCCTTTGAGGTGTACTAATAAGAAGTAAGCACGTATTGAAAGTCATTTGAAAGTGATAAGAGTCCCCAGAAAATATATTTTCAGATTATTTGGAACTAGTATCAAGTGCGATCAGCCATACTTCAAGGCAAGGATACTCTCATACACATAAATCCAGATACTTCTAATGCAAAGCAAATAAACAGAGACATGATTTTCTCTGGGAGTTCATTCGTCTTTTGTACCTGCCTTGCATTTTCAATTGTTCCCATTTTAAAAAGCTTTCCTCCAGCTCAGTTTTTTAAAGTTTTCATTACTTTAATATGTAGACAAGGATATGACAAAATTAGTCTTTCTGCTAAACAAGGCAGATAGTGTCCATAACCCTTTCGTGCTATGTGCTTATATAAAAAGTGTAATTGGAAAAAAGAGAAAAAAATGAAGTTTTGATTCTAATATAATAAACAGAAACCCCACAAAGTACTATTTAAAATGTTATGCACACACTGTAGCTGCACTATCTGTTCTTCCTGCAGTTTTTTAGGTTCTCTTATTCTAACAAAAAAACCCCTCTCTTCTTCTGTTTTTTCAGCTATAACACACACATGCTCCCACCATTTTCCCATCTTCATTCATGTACGTAATAGCACAAAGCTAAATTATTTTGCAAAATGATATTTAAATAAACTTATTTTAAATTTACAACTCCCTCAGATTTCATCATTAAATGGTACTCTGGAACTAGTATGTGGTCCAGAGTGATGTAATATTTTTAACATACAAAGACATTATGCATTCTGTCATCTATTCTTTACAGGTTATTTAATTTATTCCTGTCTTTTACTAACAATATATATGAAAAAGAAATTATTAAGAATTCAAAGGGTGGATTCATTTTTCAAACATAATGTAGAATGTCTGTTTTGTTGAGAGCCTGAGTGGAACAGAGTTCCTACTTATAATGTGAAATCTAGGTTAAACACGGAAACAAGGTATTAAGTGGATTGTCTCTTAAACAAATTCAACAGCTGTCTTGCGAATAAAGACTATTAGATTTACAGAATTTAATTTTTGACAAAAAAAGGAAGGAAGTAAATAGCAGATGTGATAATTTACACACTTGCACTTAATTTGTAAGTAAAATTAAATTCATATCAGATTCTTTTTACTCAAAGAAAAGGGACTTAGTCATGGAAAGGTGTTTTGCTTTTGTGGCTCTTTTTTAATGTATCAGTTTAATATGGCTATATATTTGTTGTTGTTAGACTGAAAGAAAAAAAAATAGAAAAAGAAGCATGACGCCATGTATGGACACAATATGGATTTACAACAGTGCTTAAAGTGCTTTCTTATTTGAGGAGATACTTACACAAATGCCTTTTCATGCTTATCTCCTTGTCACCATTATATGCTTGTTGCTTGCTCTTATGTCATTTATAATATAATGAGAGGGTATTAAATTCATACTCAGAGTTTAGTATATTGTCATAAAAAACATCTGAAAACAGGAAAATGACAATTCTATTTGTGTATTATTACAGCAACTTGAAAATTTTATTAAATACTGAAGTGCTTCATTTTGTCATTTATTCCTTTGCTTCCAGTGTTGCTTAGAGCACTATGTAAGTACAAATAGATCATACTAAAAGCATATCCATCCTATTCTGGGGTTTTGACTAGGTTTATTTACTGATGTCTTGCAGAACAGAGATGAATTTATGATCCCATGTGACCATTTATCTGCTGATGCTGCAAGATGTCTTGCCTCCAGGATTGGTTTCCATGTACATGGTTCACCAAAGGTGTACATCTTATGAATATTTATACATCGTTATGTCTTGTTGTCAAGTGGCAGTGCCGTAATGTGGGATGTCAAGTAGTATACTTTAATTTGCCAGTACCAGAAGTTGTGGGAGCAGCAGAAGTTGTGGCTTGACTGCCTACATACAAAGGGTCCAAACAAGCCACTTTGGCTGCAAAGAATGAGTGGATACAGTGAAGGACAGCAAACAGGTTGGAAAACTCCAGCTCCTGGAAGTGAAAACAAAAAGATTAAACATGAAACAAAAGAACACCTCACAAACATCTACACAGGAATGAACCGCTATTCAAATAGCAATCATTTTAATAGTTTGATGTAATTCTGCTAATGTGCCTCACAATTCTCTATTATAGGGACTTAGACATTGAACTATCCCCATTCATTAAATAATTGTTTGGAGGATAAGCTGAACAAATTTCTGAGTTAAGTGCCTCCACAGAAATATGAGATCCTACTGGGTGAAGGGGAAGGAAAGTGCTATAATATACTATAATTATATTTTATATATATATATATACACACATATATTATGTATAATACTATATAATATTTTTTTCTTACCTCAGGTTAATGCAAATCTGGCAATTTTGCTGGTTAATTTGCATAGAAATTGAATGACTGCACCGTAACAGTCTACACATCTCTGGACTACTGCGCACACTACTGTATGCCCACAAAAATCAGTAACATTGAGTTCAACATATATTACATTTGTTCATCATGTCACCTCACACTGGTAGCTATTATCTTACTTATGCTGATTCTTTAATTACAAAAATAAAATAAAAATACACATTTTCAAAAAGTGCTAGTATCAAACAGGGATATTCTGGATCTTTTTTCATTGAAAGAGTTACTGTTATTGGACTGAGAAAAAAGGAACTGACTCAATTTTTTAGACTTACTAGCAATATTATGCAAAGTCCTTCTTTTCCTAGTTTAATTTACATTTCTTTATAACTTCTTAACAAACTAAGACTCTTTTAGACACCACTACTGATGAAATAAATAAAAACTACTTTTTTTTTTTTACATATATAAATTTGCTCCTTTGTGTCTAATTGACTTCTCCTAATTTTTTTTTTATATCTTATCTTCAGTATGTGTTTTTGGGGTTTGCATTTATTCCATAAGCAACTGTTGCATTTGAAAGCAAATACTGAGGTGTTTGAATACATATAAGTGCAGGGACGATGTTGAAGAGTTGCCATCTTTCTGCTTTGATTCACTGACTATACAAATTTCTTCACTGTAATATGAGGCCAGTAATAGATATCTGTGGTATGTTCTATTTGTCTTTCTGTCCAGCACTGGTATTTCCAGGCTATGTAGTGCAGAGGGTTTTGCTTTTTTGTTTAGAAGAATACTGATACTGTTGTAAAGTCAACAAAAATTGCTAAATCTCTCAAAATGACATTAACCTGCAGTTTTCTGCCTCTTGAGATTTCCTGGAAGATATTGCTTCACGTAATTCATGGAGACATTCATAAATCCCTCATGTGTGAGGGGGAGCAACTGCCTGAAAGCAGACAGCTGCCTGTGCAGAATGTCCAGCAATGTACTGAATAGGTGAAGCTTTGCAGCTTTGCTCAGCTCTCTTACAACCTGAGCAGATGTCCTTCAGACGTGCTCAGAAATGAATTTATAACATCCCATGAGCTTCTTTAAACTCCCTTAACTACCAATTCTCAATAAAGAAGATAAAGTTTATGCCAAGTTTCACAAACCTGCCATCTGTGTCCATTTTAAAAAAAACCTGTTTAGAGACATTCTCATTTTTAAACACTGTGAAAAGGGCAATTTTATTACTATGCCAAAGGTCTTCTTCTTCCCTCAAATTTCAAAACAAGAAAATTTATCGTAGATAGGGAAACAATGGAAATTCAGAAATGAGTAAACAAGGAATCATGGAAGCTATTTCAGAATAAGAACTATCAGTCATTCAAATCCTTCTGTACTATAAAAATAGAACTAAAGCTTAAGATGAGAGAATAGATATTTAGTAGAACAGTGAAATATTCGTAATATCAATTTCATGCATTATCTGCAGAAAGACTACATTTTCCCCTATGTCTCAACAGGATGAGACTATTAAAACAAATATTACAGTTTGAGACTTGTTCGAGTCAATTAGGTAACCCTGCTAGCTGAAAGTTCTTACTATTATAATTACAGCTACTGGACACTGAATTTTCACAGTGCATTAGGACAATTATTAACAACAGTTATCACAGGTGTTTCTGCAACAGTAACAGATTGGAAAGATCCATTGCTCAATGGACCTTCAAGGAAAACGGGTGAGGCAACAGAAGGCAACAGCCTCTGAAGGGTGCGTTGAATTACTATTATTGATAGTAATGATGCAACACAGAAATTACCTTGACTGCAAAGATGAGCACTAAGAAGTCAGCAAATGCTGGATTACTATTTGCCATGAAACATTATTCCTATTTCAATTTCAATGTAGATGTGCATATTTAACTGGAAATTAAAGCAATGTGAAGCACAGTGGGCTGACTGGTATGTGGTGAGTACATACAGGCCTGATTAACGGCTGCAGCTCAATTCACAGGAGTCTGATTGATGGGAATGTGATCTATCAAGAACAACACTTTTCTGGCAGATTAGCATAATAACAAGAAATCTTAATGAACAGATAAGAATTCACGTAGAGCTGCTGACAGACAAAACACTCCCTCACTTCCGCTGAGAACTTGCACTTTTAGCTGCCTGTGGGTCTGCACCACTGCCAGCAGATGGAGGGGAACTCACACGCTTTTGTGCACACCTACCCACCCCTGGGTGTTTTCATACATACTTTGTCATCAGTCATCTTTTGTCTGAATACACTTCCATCTAGGCAGAGTACTGTGTATTGCTCACCCAGCTTTAGATGAAGTTTCAAATAAACAAACAGGCAAACCCTAAGAAACCTGAAGAAATATGCAGTGAAGCCATTAAAGTTGCTACCAGAAGGGAAAAGCAAATGATCTGAACCCCAAAAAAGTAAAGAAATGCAAATCAAGACACAGCTACTTGTCCATGCGTAAGTACACAATCTACCAATATTCCAATTTCCACACTGTTGTCTGTACACGTCACCTAAGACCCTACTCTCCTGGAATATCACTGTACCCTCTGGTTTCAAAATATCTTTGTAAGCTATCTCTTGTTTAAACTACTGTCACCCTACATTGCTGTCATTATATCAGACATTGCCAGATTATTAACCTGAATATACACAGTTTCTGCTGAGGGCAATGTAAGTGGGCAGGTATGTGAGAAAGCTGCAGTCATTGAGCATAGCAGAAGTGTATGGGAATTCTAGTAACCTTTCACAAAGAAAAACTGGATTGAAAGGACAGAGATGGAAAGAGAAAACAGAAAGAGTGTGCCCCCAGATGAAAAAAGCCCACCAACTCTTATTGCATTATATTAATCATACAGCTACATAAAGAATACATCTACAAAATCAAGCAATTATAAGCTGGTAAGTATTCATGATATGGTTAGAAAAAAATCTTTTCTTTCACCCATATATAAACTGTTGATATGAGGAGATATTTATTCTTTCATCAAATGTGGTGTTACATGGTTTCTCTATAGTAGCATAGAGTCTGATCTAAAATAAATAAATAAATATTAAATATTAAATATTAAATAGATAATCCCTGTGCGAGGCATGAGGAAACTAAGAATTGGATGAAAAAAACCCACACAGGTCAGAAATCTGAACTCAGAATACAGTCACTGCAATTGAGCAATCACTTTCTAAAAATTCTAAGTATGTATGCTTAAAACCCATTTAAAGATGATATTCTCAATTTGAAGAGCCCTGTGAGGCTCACAGAAAGACACTCAAGGCTAAGAACAAGGATTAATTTAAAATTATATTTTGGAGAATATACTTAAAACAAGCAGAAATGTCAGTCTGGAAAATGGTGCAGACAACCATCAGGTCACCTTGCAACACTTGAAAGTGAGCATTTCGTTCACATGACAACAGGAGTAACTCAGGCTATTTGCCATGTCTTAGTTTTCTATACAAGATAATTTAAAGTACAAATTAATTGTCATTAATTACTATTAAGGTAGCATTAATTAATTAGTAAGCATTAATAATACATCCTTCAAGTTACATTTCTTCTCTTGCTGATACCATATTTCTGCCCTCTTCTGTTCTCCATATTCAAATAGGCAAAGACAATTGACTTGATCTTCATCTTAATGTGCTGATTTTTGTATTCACTTTGGTTTTATAACACTCAGCTGAGGGGTTCAGCCAGTTTGTGAACAGAAGCTAACCTGATGCAGCACAGCGTTATGGCCTCACTTGAGTTTTTCTGGCAAAACTGTTGAGCTATGAAAAACCCCTGCAAGTTGAGAAAGGTGAAAGCACGGACCAAAGTGTAGCTTCCGAGTTATGTGTTTTACAGAGCACAGAAACTCTCAGTTCACAGAAATTACTGATTGGTGTGTTTACTTAAAAAAATAAAATGGAAATTGTATGTACTAAGAAAAACAGCACTGAAGTTGATTCTTATGTACATACTCCTATGTTTGTGAGCATATATATATCTCAAAACAGGATCTCTCACAGATTTAAGATACTCTTCATATTTTTTTTGAAAAATATAAAGCAGTTTCTATTGCAGTGGTCCAATACTTAGCCAGATAAAATTGAAGAGCACAGCACTCTGAGTTTATTACAGTCCTGAGACTGTGTTAGCCTCTGGAAGCTGCTGTGATACCGGAGAGACACTAGCGGACCATTAAACTACAGCTAAACAAAGAGGTCAATAGATAGGTGACTAGATAGGAAGGTGCCTAAATAAATCCCTTTGTGTGTTACAGACAAGGAGAAAGCTTTGCCCTTCTGTGTTTACTTTTTTTCAACACAACCCCAACTGCTCAGTAAGAACGAAGGAGTGGGACACGTAGGCTCTACAATCTGCCAAGCCGACAGCTCTATTTTGTAGCTCTCAGTCAGAAAAATTCTGTCTGACTGTGCAAACCTGTGCAATATCTCCTGCTGAGTGACAGCTGGGAAATAACCTACAGATTGGAAAGTCTAAGGTGTATCGGTGATTAATGTTGCCCCTAAGTGGTTTTCTTCTCAGAAACCACTTAGACCTTGCCTTAGAGACCTTCAAAGTTAGGTGTTTGCATCCAGGCACCCTGCCATAGACCCGCTGGTGTGACCTATGGTAATTACTGTTTGGATTTTTCAGACTGGAATTGCTTAAACCTACGAGGAAACACTGCTTTTATACTACACTATATATCTTTACAGTAACACAATATTACTCACAGAGAAACCAAGAAAAAGGATCAGTACAAAATCTCTACAGAAAAAAAACCCAGTATTTTAACAATATCTGAGAGAATAATGCAAATGTTTAAATATCTTAAGTTATTTTCAAGCTGAAAAGAAGTATACCTGCTGAAACTGCAACTAAAGCCATTGGAACTTGTGTGTCTGAAAGCATGCCATTTTGAATTTTGTTACATCAGGCATGGAGTACACTGTAAAAAATTTTGACAGCATTATAAAAATATTAAGTATTCAGTGTCAGTGAAGGTCTTTCTGTCACTTAGGAATATAAACTCTGGTGGCAACTGTGTTTCTCAAGAAAAAAAAAATAAGCTGACTGATGAATGGATGTGGTTCTGTATTTTTTCTCAAAAAGTATTTTTCCTAGATTCTTCTAACATTAACAGGGATATCTCTATATATTCCACCAGAATACAGAAGAGCTGCTGGACAATTATGAAGACAGTATGGCTAAAATTTAAATGGGGGTGCATAATTATTTTTTTCCAAGAAAAATCCATCTACAAGTCTGAATGTATTTCTAGAATAATAATAAATTTATAAGAACTTTGCATAAAAACTCAATAGCTAAGGACTCTGACACTCTTAACTCTCTACATAATGAGTAAGTGTTCTAAAGCTAAAGGATATTACCACATAGATACAACACACCATAATCACACACGTCTGGGATAGCATGAGACACATGGGCAGCATTTTAAATGAAGGAAGACAGGAAGTGTTTCAGATTTTGATAATTCATATTTTTACAGGAAAGAATTATATAGAATCAGAATCATTTAGGTTGGAAAAGATTTTTAAGATCACTGAGTCTAACTGTAAACCTAACGCTGTCAAGTCCTCCACTAAACCATGTCCGGTCTTTTAAGTATCACCAGGGAGAGGGAATCAACTGGGCAGCCTGTTCCAATGCTTGATAATCCATTCCGTGAAGAAATGTTTCCTAATATCCAGTCTAAACCTTCCCTGGTGCAACTTGAGGCCATTTCCTCTTGTCCCTGGGAGACGAGAGAGCCGTGTCCTCTTGGGCCGTGACCTCTTGTCCCTTTGTTACTTAGGAGAAGAGATCAACCCCTCACCTCACTACAACCTCCTTTCAGGTAGTTGTAGACAGTGATAAGTTCTCCCCTGAGCCTCCTTTTCTCCAGTTCCCACAGCTGCTCCTCGTAAGACTTGTTCTCCAGATCCCTCACCAGCCTTTCTCTGGACACACTCCAGCTCCTTAATGTCTTTTCTGTAGTGAGGGGCTCAAAACTGGACACAGCACTCAAGTTGGGGCCTCACCAGTGCTCAGTACAGGGGGACGATCATTTCCCTAGTCCTGCTGGCCACACTGTTTCTGATATAGGTCAGGATGCTGTTGGCTTCTTGGTCACATGGCCACAATGCCAGCTTATATTCAGCCAGCTGTTGACCATGATGGAAGCAATATTATTTAAAAAAAAAAAAAAAAAAAAAAGGAAAACAACAAAAAAACCACCTCACATTTGCAGAGAGTAACTGAATTATAATGCATTAAATACATTAACACATTCCATAAGTGCCATAGCTGAAAGACAGAGATGGAGGAAAGTGGGCCTTGGAGGCAAGAAATGCGGCAGTCTCAGATCAGGTATGCACAGGGTGTGTTAGTGTTAATGATGAAGGGGGAAAAAAGCACTCTTAGTTCTAGTGACTCTCTTCAGTTGTATCAAAGTCAGCTGCTGTGCCCTTCTTTCACATTACTGCTTGGGAATGCAGAAATGAAGAGCCCTAATATGTTGGGGTAATGGCTCCTCAGATTTTTGTTTTTGTTCTCAGCTGCGAGCTCTCATTTCACTATATTCTGATTATTCCCTGTTTGATATAACCGGCAAAAAATTATCTTTATGTAAAGAAAATGTTATGCTGTCTGTCCCCTTACAATCATGGGTCTCCAGGCCAGCTGAAGCCCAGAGCTGCATTTAACAGGTGATGATAGCTGTGGCTGTGAATATTCATCACAACCTTTAACAGATGTTTTACAAAATTCCCATCATCTGATTCCAAATGAAGCGTGCATACAGTATGCGTGAAACATGGCATTACAAGCATTTCTGAAAATCTGATTAACGTTTCTTAATGGCTCAAGAGTTCCCCAAATAGCTACACCTCTAACTCTGTAATGGTAGTAAAGTCCAAAAAATAGAGGCTTGATTTTTCCACCTCTTCTAATGCTGAATAGTGCTTTAAATCCACAAAATGCTTAAAGAATACAGAAGGGGCCTATCCACAGGATTTTAAAATAACCAAAATATGACCCAAGAATCTTCACAATCATTTTATAGCAACATTTATCTGTATTAGATTAAGCAACATAGTTCATACGTAAACAAATAAACGGATAGAGTGCTCACTATAAATGCTGTAGCACTTCCAAAGACAACATAATCTTACAGTTTTTTATCATGATATAACTGATATGCTTTGACCACCAAGCAAATGAATTAAAAGTAACAATTTTTTATGTCCAAATTGGTCAATGGGAAAGTTTACATTTACAATGAAGAGAAGCAATCAGGGACCATGACAGCATATTAATAAGCATGCTAGCAAGTTTGTGGAACATTCTTCCTTCATAAGGTAAATGGTAGAATTTCTACCTTGATAAAAGGTAGAAAGATAAAATTTGCTATAAATAAAGCGCTATTCAGTTTCAGTGGGAATAATAGGTTCAATAAAGGTACCAGGAAATCTCTGAGTCTTATCAAGTGATAAGCATGACAGATTTAACTTAAGACTTTAAAAAAAAAAACCAATTAAAATTATTTTTCTTCTTCAAATTCTGGATTTCATACCTTGTATTTAATGTTTTTAACATATTTTAGTATTAAAAATATATTCTAGTTTTAATGAAAAAAAACCACTGTCCCATTCTTGGATTCCTATGAAATTTCTTTAGTCCTACAATCATGTGTTAATACAGTAGCAGTAGCAGACAGATATTAGAAAAATAATGATGAGTTTCATCCTTCAACCATACTTAGGAGCACAATAAAATTCTCCAATTATTTGTTTAAGAGAAAATAATCCTCATGACATCAGGTTTTTTAGTTATGTTATCTTATTAGAGACTAACATAAATTCTGTATATTTGAAACAATTTCTGAAGGAATTCGGAAGTAAGAAAAAAATTATCTTTGAGATGTATCAAACATGAAGGTATCGAAAGCCATGCTCCATTACACTTCTGCCGTTGATTTAATGGGAGTTTTTACATACATATATACATACATACATTGTATTTAGTAAAACATTCAAAATCAAGGAAATAGCTGTTAGGTAGAAAATAATTAATACCAAACATAAACAGACAGTTAGGAATGAAAAATAGCTACCTAATGTAGCTATTGGCATTTAAACTCACAACTGCCCCCTATACAATGCCTTTTTTCTTTAAATACTTTATTATGCTGCGCATGTTTGACCCTTTTAGACAACAATTTATTTATCCATTTCCTTTTTGCTCATAGAACTGTATTGTTAGCACATTCATTCAGCAGTTTTCTCTCTGACACAATCAGGAAAAATGTTATAGCAAATGCTTCAAAAGCAAGACTTACGGGTGGCCAAGAAAGTATTCTTTAGGTTTACACAAAAATTGGGTTTCTAGTCAAAAAGACCCTCAATTCAGACCCAAAGGCAGTTTCGGTTATCAAAGTTCCTAAGAGATCACTTCTCCTGCCACACATTGGGACAGTAAATGCCCTATTCTCAAAAGACATAAATCAAACTAAGCATAAATTTCTCAGGGTTACTGTTCTCATAAATTAACTCTTGAATCAAAAGCAGAGCTGAAAAGACAACTTTTCTGATTTTGAATTAGACACAAACACAAACCTTCCATCTTACAAGGGAACTTTTTTGCTCAGAGAAACAAAAACAGATTTTAGACCTTCGTTGGTTTTTGTCCTCAGGTTGACTTAAAGATATATTTTGCACCATTTCTTCATGATACGGGCATAACATAGGGTGAAAAACAAGGCATTCAAACTGTCAACCAGTTTTATCAAAATGATAGAGAGGAGACTTGGCAAACATGCCCAAAACCATACATAGCGAGTCTTATTTTTTATAATTGTTAACATAATTACACCATTCAAAAAACTGCTAGCTAGCAAAAATCCAAGCAGTTGGTTCTGGTTTCTTTTTCTTCTAATTTCTTTCATTTACTTTGCATGCTTTGACTTTGTGCATTAATCTAATATTGCTAAGTAATTTAGTTTAATTTACTCCTCCATTCCCCTAGCTGCTTTGATAACTGCTTTTAATGTACATTGCCTTTATAAAACAAACAATGTATTGTTTTTACCTTTGCTTCAATTTGTTTAGTATCTTGGTTCTGGAACAAAAATTTGATTTTGCTCTTCCCATCATCTGAAGAACCTTTCAGCTGGGAAAACTTGTACCTCCAAAGTACAGCCTAGAGTTAAAAAAAAAAGAAACATAAAAAAACTGTGCACAAGAAAGTCAGTGTAGCTGCCATTGAAAATTGTATTAGAAATAGTGAATCTCCTTCCAAGGGAATTTTTTACCCCTCTGTTGTACATAATTAAATCAATTGAGTATTATGTGGATTGATGTTCCTTTCATTATATGGTTGTATAATACTTTGTCAGTGTCTGATTCAGATCAGTCAGACTACATTTGTGAAATTTACTCTGGAATTCCTTTATCAATATTTAATCCTGGTTATACAAATAAAGAGGATTAGTAAATTCATTGTCATACCAAAAATCAAAGATTTTTTCTCCACTGACAGTCTGTGGATTCCCTAGTCCATCTGAAGTCATAACCCATCACAGAAGTCCTCTCTTTTCCTTTCCACATTTAAAAATCTAGTTGCATTAACAGAAAAAGCATATCAAATTAAAAACAATTATCTGTTTGTAAATGATAAAAAAAATAAATGGAAACCCTGTAATGACAACTTATTTTGAGTTTACTTGTGAAAGCTCTAATCAGGAATTTGAGCAGATCGTTAATTCTAAGCATATCAGTGGCCTTGCAAGGAATTATATTACAGATGACATTGTGTCTTCTTGAAAAAAAAAGACAGATTGCTCTACTGAATAAACATGTAATTAATAAAATTTACAGCTGGCTAGAAAGACATCTATTTTTATATCTAATGTGGATTTAGGCAGAAAAAAGTACATTCAAACTGCTTAAAAGTGGAAAAGAGCTATTTTTCATTCTAAGTCTTTTCGGTCTCATTTAAAGATATCCCCCAACACCTTCCATAAATTTCGAAACACTAACATTTTTCATTGTGATTTCAGTAGTATTTCACATAATTATAAGGTTATTCTCACTTACATTGTGCTGTTACTTTGAGGAGACATTAATTTCACATGCATCGGACAACACAGAGACTTAAGGCAAGAAGTATTGTTCCTTTTCTTTTGTCTAAGGCTTTGTAAACGACTTCCTCTCAGTGGCATAGCATTACACTTCCATTGGTGTCCTTTGTCTATATTTATGAATGATTTAGTCTCCACTTGAAATTAAACAGAATATGAGGAAGGTCAAATTTTTAACTGTCCTAAATCTATGCAGGTCCCTTTGCTTCAGGATGTGTTGATCTCTTTATGTTAACTGACTGGAAAAATCTCTAACCTGTACCAAGATAAATAAAGTTAGCTGTGTTTGTCTTAGTAAGATGTAGAGGGAAAAAACAAAAGGACGGTATCTTAAGTGTGCACAGTACGCAAAGCAAGTGCTAGAATTACTTTCCCCCAAATTCTCTTTATATATTTACCACTTAATGCCAGCACCATTTTCATTCTCTGCACCCATGTGACAGGTAACCTCCCATCTACCGTAAACAGAGTTAACGACATTCTGGGGGATTTGGCAATTTATGTGAAACTATGTCATATTTGTTTCAGATGTTGTCCTCCTGAGCCCACCAGTCTTCCTACAGAAAATAGAATAGCTTCACTCAGTGTGCAATTCCTCTCATTTTGTTTGATCAATGATGTTTACTTGTGTCCTGTAGATAGTGAATTAAAAACCAAACCAAAACAACTTAGTATACCATTCAGGTGGCCATACCTCCTACCTATGTTGTAAACTTTTTTTTTACAGACCTATGTAGCTCAACAAATCTTGTCAGAAGATCAAGACCATTGCCTTCCTGCAGTAACAGCAAATTTATTTAAACATGTCATTTCCTAGATGAGAAATGTAAAGGGCATTGATGGTCTCTTTATCTCAGGAGAACAACAACCAAAGAAATAAGGTATCATCTTTCTCTCCTCTGATGACGTATGGGAAATCCAGGAGAGAGGTGCAGTAGTAAAAAGGACCCTTAAACGGGAAGGCAAAATCCCAGGGTACCTCACCTTATTCCTAATCAGATTAAGTTTGAGTGAAGATGAAGAATGTACAGAACTGCAGTCCTTGAGCATTCCCATGCTGCTTTGCCCCTCGCTTCATTCCCACTCAGAGGAAAGAGAATGACAGTCACACAAAGCCACAGGAATGATTCAAGAACACGCTTCAGTTTAGGCATAACATTGGTTTTGGAGAGCCCTACTTAGCAATGGCTCTTACTTAAGTACATTGCAAAATCAGGTCAATAGCATGGAGAGGATGAAATCCTTCTTGAGATTAATCCCAACAAGACAGCACTTCTTCCATCGGGATATCCAAACAAGTTCCTAGAACTGAGAGTTCAACAGCATACTTCATAGAGACTATTAAACACTCTAATGCGTAAAGTATAAAAATGCATGAAATGACAATGCATGAAATCATTCCCAAATTAAAGAACCACCTGTTTATTCTGAATGATCTTCAATGAATTGCATACATTTTTTCTCAAATATGTCCACATGCAAAAATAAGAGTAGGGAAATGTTGTTTTAAGTTATCAAGGCAGGAATACAAAGTATTTCAAACATTCAAGCTAGTCAACTTGGCTGCTTTTTTTTTTGTTGTTGTTCTAGAGAACTTCTGAGTAACTGTTCCTTCATCCTAGTTTGAACTGGTATGAATACTCGTTCGCTCTGATACACCCTGGATGTGTTTACACCTCAATTAGCCACGCTGCACTAGAAATGTAACAACTAACTTAAACTAGATGTCCAAAATCTAGATAGCTAAAATTGGATGAATTATTTAAGTGTATGCCCAGTAAGACCTATATAATTCCTTGTCTCCTACCAAAGATGCTGAAATGCTGCCCCGTGCATCCAGAACTGCACATTTTGCACATGTAGCAGAGATACAAGGTGATGCAGAATGCTGTGACCAGCAGCCAGATCACTTTCCTAAAATACAGTATCTTGGGGATCCCTCTGCTACTTCCTCTTGCATTTGGGTGGGGTTTTTTTTCTTTTCATTTTCATTACTGCAAAATGCATAAGCAGTGAACAGGAGCAGACTAATCCCTTTTCAATTACTACCCCATAGTGCCAAAGTAGAAAGGAGAAGCAAGACCTACACACCTAAGCACCCATTTTCACAGAGATGTGTAGCTACAGCAGTGACATAGAATTATAGAATCATAGAATGGTTCGGGTTGGAAGCGATATTAAAGATCATCGAGTTCCAACCCCCCTGCCCTGGGCAGGGACACCTCCCACCAGACCAGGTTGCCCAAAGCCCCATCCAGCCTGGCCTTGACCACTTTCAGGGACGGGGCATCCACAGCTTCTCTGGGCAACCTGTTCCAGTGCCTCCCACAAAAGAGAGAGACAGTTTCACATGTTGGTTTTTTTCATGTTCCTATGGGCTGACTTCAGTGTCACAGTGCTCACTGTGGTAACTGTTCTGAATTATAATTTTAAAGGCTAATTCTCCTGCATTAGGAATAGGCACCCTTGGGTGATCTATGTCACTGTCAAAGCCAGGTGAATTATTCTTTCATGGTTTTGGACATCACAGTTCCTCAGAACCATTTGTTGAATGCTTGCTTCAGGGAGTCAACACAGGTTGATATAATTTTGTACAAATGTATATCTATTTATGTATAGATTGACTTCTAAGCAGTAAGTACATTTGTAAAACATGTTGTTTTTTTCACAAATTACCAAAACCCTAAATGTGCATCATATAAATTATTCCTAAATCAGCTTTTATGAATTATAGAATATAGGCAGAAGTACTTACTGGTTTGAAGGTAAGAATGTTATTGAGCTCAACACTGTACAATGCATTCTGATAAGGCTTCTTTAAGTTAATAAAAGCAGCCTGTTCTCTTCAATTGTTTTCCTTGATAATCCTCAGTAACTGTGTATAACCTGCATCACTGAGAATATTTTACATGACTATATATAGCATTTTTAGGAAGCCGTGAAATTTTGTTTACCCTAAAATAAATTTGACAGGTAGACAAGGTGGTAATTCCTTTTAAAGCACAAATTACAATAAAATTCAGAAAGATTGTGTGGGAGATCAGCTACTCATGAGGATCCTGAAACACTTCTCAAGCTGAGGCACACAACTTTATCATGCTTTGATAGGAGACCAAGTTGGGAACTCAGTGTGCACTACTTATTGCCTTTAAAAGGGAACTGTCAATCCATGAGTAGAGGCAGAACTTATGAATAACAGCAATATAGAAACTGGGAACCAGTTAATATCATAGATTGAAAATACTCCCAACTTCACAATTTGCATACATCCTGTGTGGTCATGGAAAATCTGACATACTTAATCCATGTTTTGAGAAATGCACTATAAGAAGACAATCTCGTTGTACAAATTCTGTACGTATCATGCATACCATTGAAAACAACTAATAAGATATAAATCCTTTTCCCAATTATTACTTATAGATCACTTAGGCTGCTTTTTACATTTTATACCATTTAATAAAATTGACTTCAAAGAATACCAGAATGCAATGCAAACAAATAAACTGTGTCGACAATCTGACAAATTAAATTTAAGACTTCTCTTGAGATGCTATTAAATTATTGTAATAAGAAATCATCAAAAAGCGAAATCCTGTCTTCACTGAAATTAATAGGATTTTTTTTTTCCTTTGACGTATCTGGGACCAAGATTCTCCACCAATAGTTCTTAATGAGAAATATTTTATTTATAAGTAATCATCTAGGACTCATTTGTTCTACTCTTTGTAACCAAATTACTGCCTGTTATCTTCTGCTAGTGTTATTTTGCTATAATTACCCAAGGATGCTCTCTGCCTGCATAATTTTATTTTATAGATGGGACATAAATGCAATACATAAATGGCACATGAAAGAAAAGCTATTGACTTCAGTACCTGTAGTACTTTGCTGATGTTCCCCACAGCAACACAAATGAAGAAAATTATTTTGCTTCTACTCTTAGCACTAATGCTAAATCTAGAGCACATATTCTGCAAGGGACCTTAGAAAATATTTTCACATTCATATCATATGTCACTTTGCTACTCATACCCATAATTTCAGAATCCTGGAGTAAACTACATGCAATTTTGATGAGATGTCATTAAACAAAATTACCAAAAAAACACAGAATAGGTGTGTCTGTATTTTTACTTAACCATACTCTAAGGAATATGCATAGAAACCTGAGCGCCTGCCTGCTCCATGGTTCTGTGATAGCTATATGGTCTAGCAAGGATATAGAGGGCATTTTGCATTGGCACTAGGAAAGAAAAGCTATATTTCATCAACATAAGAGTATCCAACCAGAACAGAATTAATGCGTCCTATAGCCTCAGTGATGAACTACCTTCAATTTATTATTAAACAGTCTTGCCTCTTCTATATTGGATTGTGCACTGTGGACCAATTCTGTTCTTGCAAAAAGACCTTTTACACTTAATGAACTTGTGAAATAGCGTTAGAACCACATACAGCAATGGGAACATTTCACCTGCCAGTGTGCATCTCCAGGTACAGGTTTCCTCTATACTTTCCATTGACATGGATCATACAGTTTTTATTAAGTAATAGCAAAACAAGTTACATCTTCAGTAGGATGCTTGGAAAAAAAAGTCTGTCAGTGTTTTATAATTATTAGACAGCTACATCTCAGACCATCTCTAAATGGTGGAGTAAATAAAGAAACCATCTTTATTAAGGAGAAGATGTCAGAGGTGTCAGAGGTCACTTTTCAAATATTTCAGTAAATCCCTTTGTTGTCTTTTTCATTGCATCTTCAAAAAGCCGTATCTGTACTTTTTCAACATTGCCTCCCTTTTTCTTGATACTCAGACTGATTAAATCATTCTTCTGTTTAGATTAAGTCAAATTTTTGATTATAGATTATATATACATGTATTATAGAATTATGCTAAATTTCAATGGACACCTTTCAAGCTAATGTTGTTTGTCATCTGACTAAAATAAGTGATACTCCTACAAGTCAAACTAAATCAAGAGCAGATGCCTTGTAGGTCCTTATTTTCAAGACTAAAAGTAATTGGGTCTTCAGGCACCTGGGATACACCTTAATTTGGCTCTTTGTCTCATACCTAATTGAGAAAGATTGCATTCTTGCCAAGTGACACTTTGTCCATACTGATAGCAGCAGTAGGGAACTCAGTAGGATTAAGATCTTGTTCATGCTCAATTCTACTGTGTTACTGATCTCTGGAGAGTGTCTTACTACAAAAGAATTATGGTCCAAGGCAATTTCCTTTGTCAACTGCTGTGGCTTTATAACTGTAAAGGGAAAGACAGGGGAGTACACAGAGGATAAAGAACAAAAAATGAGACAAAGGAAACAAGCAAGAAAGTCAGCCCTAATAAAATAACTGTTCTTATCCATTACTGAAGTTACATTGAATGTTATAAGACTACAGTATATTTGCTTAGTACTGATGGATGACCTACCAACATTTGGTTTTTTTCAAGCCACAATATATAAGACTGTACTAACCATGCTTGGCGGCTTATATTAAAGTTATAGTAGCTATTTGTTCAACACTTCAGTTTCTAAGCATGGAATAAATATTTGTTCACAAGAATTAAATTATTAAATCTCCACCTTGAAGTGAGCCTGGCTTCCTTCTGCTTTCTCAATTACTGAACTTGGGATACCAAGGGTTTTTTTACGTTCTGTTTTATTTCAATATGCTGTATGTGTATTAGCTGCATGAAGAGACAGACCTTAAGCTATGTATCCCTAGAAAACATGGAGTTCTTTCCTAAAGAAATTAAGAGAAATTCTGTTCTATATTATTTAGTAGCCTTTTGGTATGAAAAAGAAATTAAAGATATTTGTAATGCTATTTACTGTTTACAGTCTATACTCTTTTTTGATGAAGTGTGCAAGGTGTCTGCAAGAGAACAGATGACAGGCACATTGAACTTTGTTGATATGCACCTCGTGGGCCATTATGGAGCCTTTTCTACTTCTTTCTAGCATCAGCATATAATTCAGCAGCACTTTAATTTACTTTCAGTCCTTTAAGGGATGGCTGTTTTTTTTTCTCTTCTGACAAATATATATTTTTGGCGGCTGCTTTAATAAGCAGTAAATGTGATGGAGTACAGACATAGCACTTTGCACAGGTAGGTATATTGCAATGTGCACTCATACAATCATGTACATATATTATTTGTACAAGCTATGATGCAAATATGGCCTTTATAGAAAACAATTTTAATGAATATGTCAGTATAAGCAGAAACATATACCATTCGTATGTCTATGTATATACACCCATACTCTTGAAAAGTAGACCATTTTTTTGTTAGAAGCATTTTAAAAACAAGTTATTGAATGCCACATGAGTACGTAGCTTTATACATTCGATCACTTTCACAATAGTAGTTAGATGAACTTCTGCACATATCTTGTTATGCTTTTTAATCTATCAGTCTTCATCCTTAATTCTTAAGGTGGCAACACTGGCTGCAAAACCTTATTTATAAATGCTTATCAAAATATCTGTGTATTTCCATACTTGTGCACAGCAGAGCTACATTTGCTCATTAAAACACGAATGTCTATATTCTAGCTAATGTTAGACAAATGCAGGACCAGAATTAATGTGCTTTAATTGTGCTGGACTTGGGAAAAACATGTTCCCCAGTAGACATTGATATATAATACTGCAAAATGACCTAGGGTAAAATCTGGTTTATGACTTTCAACATCTGCAACAGAACTTTGTGCATCTTTATAATTTTCTGATCATTATCTGATCACTGCACAGCAAAATGATCAGAGGGATGGAACACCTCTCCTGTGAAGAAAAGTTGAGAGTTGAGGTTCTTCAGGCTGGAGAAGAGATGGCTCTGGGGAGAAGCTATTGCAGCCTTTCAATACGTAAAGAGGGCTTATAAAATAGACAGAGAAAATTTTTACCAAGGCCTATGGTAACAGGACAAGGAGCAATGTTTTTAAACCTAAAGAACATAGGTTTAAATTGGAAGAATTTTTTTATGATGAAGGTGCTGAGACACTGGAACAGATTGCTCTGAGAGTTTGTGGGTGTCCCATCACTGGAAGTGGAAAGATAATAGTTTGTACTGATTTTTCAAATACTCAATTGTAAAAATTCATATAATTTATAAATAATTAGATGTAAATATTTTTTCATGAACATTATGACATTTTGTTTTGCCTTTAATATTGAGTTTGTTAATTCATGTGACAGTTGCTAGGTCTTTTGCACAGTCTTAATGAAGAAGTTTATATGTAAATATTAATAAGATATAGATAATTTAAATTTTATTCATGTTTTCTTTGTCCTGGAATCTATTTTCCATTTTTCGTTGTTCTCTCAGATCTTTCTTGGATAAGAGATTTTTAACTCCTGCTTCATATGAGCTCCTACTTTAGGTAGAGAAATGATACTTTTAGCTTATATGAGTAAACACTTCTAGTTTATGTTTTTAAGTTTATGTTACTAAGGACAGGCTGGGAGACCTGGAGTTGTTCCGCCTGGAGAAGAGAAGGCTCCGGCGTGACTTTATTGTGACCTTTCAGTACTTAAAGGGGGCCTACAGGAAAGTTGGGGACAAACCTTTTAGCATATTTTTTGTCCTGTTGCAATAGGACAAGCGGTAATGGCTTTACACTAAAAGAGGAAAGATTTCGACTACATACATGGAAGAATTTTTTTACAATGAGACTGGTGTAGTACAGGAACGGGTTGTTCAGAGAGGTGGTAGATGCCCCATCCCTGAACACATTCAAGGTCAGGTTGGACAGGGCTCTGAGGAATCTGATATAGTCCAACTGCTCATTACAGGGGGGTTGGACTAGACCACTTTTAAAGGTCCCTTACAATCCAAACTTTTCTATGATTTCTATGAATCACCTCCCCTGACCTGCTGGCCACAATTCTCTTGATGCAGCCCAGGATGCAGTTGGATTTCTGGGCTGCCAGTGCACATTGCCGGCTCATATTGAGCTTCTAATCCACAAGCGCTCCCAAGTCCTTCTCCTCAGGGCTGCTTTCTATCCGTTCTCCACCCAATTTGTATTTGTGCCTGGTATTGCCATGTCCCAGGTGCAGGACCCTGCACTTGGCTTGGTTAAACTTCATGTGATTTGCATGAGCCCACCTCTCAAACCTGTCCAGGATGCTCTGGATGGCATCCCACATGCGTGGGGTCTTGATGTTTTTACTGAGATTTGGGCTTGCATTAATATAATCTGGAAATTGATTTCATATTAGTCACCTGATACAGCAAAATATTTCATCAGTTGCTCTGAACTTTTGTAAGGCTGACAGGAAAAGCTTGAGACATACAGACTATGGCTAATTTAGCTTTTTACAGGCATCTGAACAAAAATATCTAAAACACAAACTGAGAATTGCTGTAACAACACACACTCCCACTCATGAAACAGAAGAAAAGAAAGGCAAGTTCTTTTCAAAGCTCACAGATCAGCTTGAAACCGAGATTATTTCCTATCAAAACCAAGGATGCACCAGTGAAAGAAACATCAAACTGAATCAGTCTGGGCTTTCATGTGAAATGAAAGAATGAAGACCTGATGCTTGTTTCAGATTGATGTGTGTATTGACTTTTCAACAATAAGCACATAGCAGAATACAAATTTTCACATAATTTAGAAATCACACCCAAGTTTAAACTAAAGCAAGAGATTTGACAAGAAATGATCTGCTGTGATAAAAACAAGAAATATATTTTAAGGATGCATTACTTACCCCAAAATAAAAGAAAGAATGAGTAATAATAACAACAATAATAATGTGGTGGAAACAAGTCTTAGATCTTTACCTTTGTGGCAGCATCAAAACAGACAAAGCCCATGCTAAAGTCGATGGTAAGTCCCATAAGATGACTCTCCAAAACACAGGCATACGTCTTGCACTGTAAAAAAAAATATCAGAGAAGGCAGTTACTACAGAACACATTTCTTAAATTTCTTTCTAGGACCAGCATTTATGTGTCTTTATTCTAGTATTTACATATCTCAAACTTATTATCAGAAATAAGTCATTTGTGTAGAAATAGGTCAATTTATTACCAGTGTATTTCAAATCAAAGGATTTATATCAGTAGCGAAGTTTTCTAAATATTGGAAAAAGAGGCTTTGCTTGCCTTAGGGAAAAAATAAATCAGAATCAGAATTGCTTCAGTGGTTCACCAATGACAACTACTAAAAGGGAAGTTTTAATTATTTGCGACCCTACCTGGAGTGCTGCGTCCAGCAATGGGGGACTCAACATAAGAACGACATGGACCTGTTGGAATGAGTCCAGCAGCTGGCCACAAAGATGATCAGAGGGCTGGAGCACCTCTCCTATGAAGACAGGCTGAGAGAGATGGGGTTGTTCAGCCTGGAGAAGAAAAGGCTCTGGGGAGACTCTATAGCAGTCACTCAATACTTAAAGGGGGCCTACAGAAAAGGTGGGGAGGAATTTTTTATCAGGGAGTGGAGAGATAGGTCGAGGGGCAACAGTTTTAAACTGAAAAAGGGAAGATTTAGATTAGATACTAGGAAGAAAATCTTTCCTGTGAGGGTGGTGAGGCACTAGAAGAGGTTGCCCAGGGAAGTCGTGGATGACCCATCCCTAGAAGTGTTCAAGGCCAGGCTGGATGGGACTTTGAGCAACCTGGTCTGGTGGGACAGTGTCCCTGCCCATGGCAAGGGGCTTGGAACTCAATGATCTTTAAGGTTCCTCCCAACTCTAACCATTCTATGATACTATGATTCTATGATTTATTTTGGTACTCAGTAACGTCCTCTAACATTAATATATCTCTTTTAGCTTTTTAAGAAAAAAAAAAATGCGTTTGTAAAATATCTCCTTGTATCTGTTCATTGTTTATTTTGGTGTTGTCCTAAATCTCAGTGAAAAAGTTAATTTTTCATACCATGTAGCAATTGACATAAGTATATGAAAAACATTTTTACTTCAGCTGGAGGAGCAATATTTCTAAAAGGTTTCTATGAGAAAACTCAAGGTCCTGAAAGCCTTTTGCATTCTATGATTTTTAAATCTATGCCTCTATTTATTTCCATAACATCGTACTTATATTCATGCTGTGAGACATCTTTTAGTGTCATTTTCAGAGCAAAACTATTTCTATGCATGAAGGCTAACTAACTTCAGGTACAAAATAACAAATTTGTACTTCTCTTTACAAAATATGTAAAAAAATTAAAACACTTAAGAATCTGATGTAAGTTCTTTAAAGAAGCCATTCTTATTTTATAGAAATTTTAACCTCCAGATTAAATGAAATATATTATTCAAATATTACTGTACCCACTAAATGTACTCAATGAGATCAAAGACCCATGATGTATAATGTGTCAAAGAACCAAAATATAAATTGTAAACATGGGGACAATGTAATTTACTAAATTATCAGTTACAAAATCATGTATTATTATTTTTGGCATTTTTATTATTAAGGATAAATCACACATGTTTACTTATATATTCTTTGGATGGGTTGCTTGGATTCTAAATGGTCATCCCCAGAACACAAGAAACTGAAAGACCATTAACATCTTGTAAGAGTTGGAATAAACATTGTAATGAAGGAAAAGGAAAATTTCATAGCTATATACATTATTTGGTTATATTAAATTTGACTTTTTTACACTTCAATATAGATTTCTTTTCTGAAACTCAAATATTTGAGTGAATTGCTTTCATTGATCAAATCAGGTCTCAAATGCGTACAGTTGTTGGTTAATCTTTCTGCACACACTTTGGAGCTCTAGAGTCTAAGTTTCAAACACAGTGATACTCATCACTGAAGCTGAAGTTAGATAACTAACTTTGTTAGTTATCAGTGGGGCACAAGTGTAGCATTTAAGCTAGTCTATAGAAAAGGATGGCCCTCTGGAAGTAAAAAATCCATGACGTGTCTCACAAGCTGATGTTGCGTTATTGCTGAGTAACAGTAAATTGTATGCTAATGTGTGATCCACCAAAGGTGTTCAAAAGCTGTAACTGTGTATCAGTAAATGAAAGGTTTCCTACAGCTGCCATTGAGGTGGAAAGCAGTGACTGGTCTTTTCCTGTAGCTCCCAACACTGAAAGAACTTCATGTACTTCACTGCATGTGTAAAATCTGAATTCATATCATACAGAGGTGCACTTGATCATTATAACTATTAACACATAAATCCCCAAAATTTTTAATTATGAAATCAATGATTCAGCTCTGTGGTGTTGCAGTCATATGGCATTTGTGTTTATATTAGGAAATAAAAATGTCCTTTTTGGAGCAGCTACACCATAAAATTGCTGTGAACATGTAAACTTTGACTGTAAATCAGTGTTGTTAGAAAAGGAGAGGATACTGCCTTTGGCAACATCTCATTAGTAGAAGACAAGATTGCAAAATAATGTATTTCACAGTGACTTACTACTTAATGAATTCATATCTGCAAAAAAGTTCAGGTTTTGTATGCAAAGCAAAAAATGTACAGTTTTGTAGAATTATCTTGCTAACTTCCTACAAGATGCAAACTACATTTTTATCTGTAGACCTCCAAGATATCTAGAACAGAAATAGAGCCTTTACTGAGAATTAAAATTTGGCAAGGACATAGTATTTCAGATTTAAAATATGCATGGCCATCTAACTCATCTGACCTGCCACCTCAACACCAGAGGTCAACCTACAATGCGCATTGCAGCAGCACGCTGAGCCGGCACAGCTACCTCTGCTTAAGCACAGCACTGTCCCTGGGCCAATTAGCCTCACTGAGAAGTTAAGATTTATGAGAAACAGGACACATCAGTCTTGGTTCAATGCTGCACTGAAAAAACAATTTCCCTATTTCCCAGACTGAAGGTTGTTTCTGCAAAAGGCAGTGCACAGTTTGTGGAGAAATATCTAGTTAGCTCAATGTGGTTATCAGTAGGAAGAAATTGCATTGTAAAGTGCAGCCAACCCGTAGCAGCTGATCCTTTACTTGTTCTTTAGTTATAAATAAGACCAGTCTTGGACCATGTATTCCATGATGTTCAAAACCATTCAGAGAAGCAAAAATGTGAGAAGAGTGAAAGGTTCTCTGGACAGCGAGATTTTTATTTCTTTGGGGAAGAACGTCCCTTGCTTTATGCATGTGTTTTATGCACTTCCACATGATTCTGGTGAACATGAACTTTCAGACACCTGTTGACTCTGTTAACATTGTACTCATCTTTATTTTCTTTAATTTATCTTTTAATTCAGACATCCAGAGTAAACAAAAAAGCAGAAATTCTTCCCAGGAGACTTGATAATTTAATATTTCTTATACTTTTAGCAAACACTTTAAGTCATTAAAAGTGCCTATTAATAATATATATTGTGGATGTTTGGCTTTGGTTGAGGATTTCTCACATAGAGCTCATGAAAACCTTATGAGAACTGAAGCATCCCCCTCCCAAAAGAAGCAGAAGATATTTCAGCACTCGTTTCTTGTTCTCTCACAGAATACAGAATCTGAAATAGAGTTGCTGAATAATTCAGTGGGTCAGGCAGGGGCCAAAGGAGACAGGCCAAAGTTGTTCCTTAGATTCTACTCCCTCAATACACAGAGTTTAAATTATGGAAACAATGATATATTGTAAACCTAGTCTAAACTATCTCTGAAGCTAAGGGAAACCATGCTATAAGTCCAAGATTTAATTCAGACTTTCTGACTCAGATTCAACTTCAGTGTAGACAAACATTAACGTACTGTTAACACAAAGCAGTTTACACCGTAATCCTTATATTAGGCAACAAACAACTGCAATACAAACAAGAAAGACAGCAAGAAAAAAATTAACACTGAAACGGTGAAAATTTTAGCATAAAGTAGCAGGAAGAGAAAGGGAACCTGACAATCAGATATAATTGCACACCATTTTTGCCTAATTTTTCTTTTAGATACACCTCTATCAGAAGCTACAAATTAGGCTTAAACAGAACTTGCTACATATTTATAGTGAAGAATTTTAAATATATATTATTTTCTGATATATTTTGTAGAATTAAATGAGAATAGGGCCCTGATTAACCTCTCGTGGAGGTTAATGCCAATTTATACTCATTGAGTAACTCCATTATTATGTTTATGATTATGGAATAGTACACAACCCATTTGAATAATTTTAAATGGCAGTTTTAAACTGCAGTTGTATTTTCAAATTATATGGTTTCACAGTAGGACAAATCTGCACACAGCTGGATTATCATTCACACGAAATATGAATATTCATATGAATGATTGCATAAACCACAATTTTTGTAAAAACATAATGTTGATACCTTGATTGTGAACCTGTCACCTTTGTTTCTCACAGAGCAATAAAAGAACTTGGGGGAGACGAGCTATACCATTACTTAGTCAAACTAGATTTTATCTGAATCTGCAAATTGGTGGATGAAAGCAATAATGGTTGGTGAAAGAAAAATGAGGAGGTGGAGACTAGTTATATTAAAAGTTAATTATTTTTTTTTTGCAAACTGGTATATAGAAAAATAGGCAAGAACATAAAGAAAAAAAAAAAACAAAAACAAAACCAGAAAGTGAAATCATAAGTGTGAGTTCCAAAATAATAGTGAGAAGCCTGTTTGTCCACCTTCAGAAATTTGCTATAATCCATCAGTCTTGGGAAATCATTACTTCAAGTTCATAATTCCTACTCTGAACATCAGTAGAGTGAAAAGAAAAGTGGAAAGATTAAGATTAACCTGAGGTTAAGATTATTAGGGAAATTCTTTTTTGGAAATGCAGGGGCAATTTTGAATAAATGTAGTTCTAAAACTCAAGAGAAAAACAAAGCAAAACAAAACAAAACCTAGAAATGCTACAGTACAAATCAGTATTAGAGAAGAACAAATATGAAGTGGCTTCTGGGCTAAAAGTTATTCAATAAAATTGCAATATATTCTTTTACTGATGGCACAGTAGTGCTTCTCCAAACAATGTTACAGTCAGTTATATGAGAAAGACAAAACATCTTACATATTTAGTGGCAGAGGATATATACTTTTTTATACAGAAAAGCTACACTCACATTTTTCAGCACAACAATAAGAGTTCAAAAGGTAAGAATAGCTCCTGCAAAACGTAACAGAGTGCACGAACTTAAAAATAAAAGCTGAACCTTCTTCAAATCCTCCTCCAACAAAGATAATATGCATAGTATGCATTACAACTGACAGCAGGGTAGTTTTTGCAAAATGCATCATTAGCGTATACTAATTCAGTCCATCTTCAGGTGTTGGTTTGTTTATAGGTCAGAAGAGGGCTAATACATAACTAACTAACAATTTGTCTAAATAAAAATCTGTCAGTGCTTGCATTCCAGGAGGACGCAGAAAATGAGTGCAGTGAAAGTGAGCATTAGCCAATACTTCCACAGGCTGATATGTTAATATGACTTTTGTAGGTATGGATATAACTTATGGCAATGGATATAACTTATGGCAACATCAACTAAAGCTGTTCCAACCATATGTACTTTTTTATGATTAGAACATCAACATAACAATGAGGATTGGGTGAATTATGATTGTGGTAGGTATTTTTTTTTCCTCCTATTTTACATCAAAAAAAAGATGACTTTTTGGTCATGTGAGAAAAACAGAGTTAGCTTTAAACACTATGACATGTAATTTTGCTATAGAATTCACTAGTAGTATGTACCCGAACGTCATCCATTTTTTCTCTGCCATCTGACAATTGAATGACACATGAAACAAGAAATGTGTGAAAAAAGAATAATAACTTCTGTACAATTTTGCTCTTGCTTGCATCCAGTAAGTACTCTCATTCAGTGTGCTCTCATTCCTGATTATTACAAGGAAAATTTAACTCCTGGAAGGTTCTGTTATGTTATGCAATAACAAATAAAGCAGCATGTAAGACAGTATGTAAGAATATCTAAACAGCTGGTTTTGTCCCTGATTTATAGATGGTTTTTCCTCTTCTGCCCATGAACTTTAGTTAACAAACATGTATCACCTAGCCATAATAACTCAAAGATTGTATTGGAGGTTCAGATTGCATTATGAACATTAGACTGCATGCTGTACTAACTAACACTAAAAGGGATTTCATGCAATTACATACATAAAACAATAATAATTTGAGTGTTGCAGGAGGTCAGCAAATTTGTTAAATTATGTCATTATTTCATATAGACCTAATTTTTTAATGTACCAAAAGGTAATCATCAAGGCAGTTTTTCTCACCTGTATCCGTTCAACTTCTAAAAAAGTTGCCGTTTGGAAGGCTTTTTCCCATAGCGTTAGGTCAGACTCTAGTTCCACAGAAAAGTAAAGATCTTCTCCAGATTCAGACTGGACACTGAAGCAATGTTTCCGCCGGTCCAGCAGATCACTGTCCTGATGAAAACCTGAAGTTATATAATCTGGCATACATCAATTAATATTTTTAATTGCAAACACCTATGCCTCAAACCTAGTGTTTTTAAAAGGCGTGTTTAATGATACTGTAGTAACTACTGAGAGCTGAGGAACTGAAATGAGGGGTTTGGTCCAAATCCTGAAATTTCAATTAACTTTAAACAGAGCACCTATGTTAAGAATGGTAGAGAACAACATAGCATATCTTTCATAACTTGCAATATTTTTAACAAATCCCTTCTCAGAAATGTTATCAGCTATGTGCTTTTAAATTAGGTAAATTCTATAAAAGATGTCAACTTTCCATTCACATGAGAGGAAGACAAGTATCAGCTTCTCTGCCCTATTTGATTTACCCACCCTTATTCTGGAAGGCTGGCCAAAGGAAGCAAGAAATTTATTTAAGCAGTATGAAAAGTCCATTTGTTCTATTTTCCCCATATAGTCAGACAAAACAAGTTCATATTTTTGGTGGCTTACAAAATCCAACATAAAATTTGTCTATAGCTGTATACTTTCAGTAGAGACCAGTGGCTGCCAGTGGTTAGGTTGCTGGCTTTGGACCTGGAGGAGGAAGTTACTTTTGCCTTTACTTTCAACACACCACCACACGATGGATATCGGGTTATAAATATATAATATTTAATGATTCCTAGCATTTTTAATTGGCACTAAATAAAAGAATAACCAAGCTAATCAGGAAATGCATGACTAAAACATTTTTCAATTATCTTTTTTTTAAATGTAGGATGCTTCAAGCTGAAATTCAGGCATGCAATTCATCCTTGTGAAAAATTCACTTGCAGAAAGAGTTTTAATTAATTTTGTCCCTACTACAGCAAAGCAGCTGTCACAAGACACAAGAACACCAGCTGTTCTTGCAAATACATGTGGAAATTTGGGTATATGTAGCTTGGGTGCAATTTCTAAAATGCTATCCCTTCGCAGAGTGCACAGTTGTGATCAGTAAAGGAGACTCACAGGACAGTATTGCCCTCTGGTTATACACAACTCGAATAGATCGAGGGGACCACAACCAAGTGATACAAGCTGGAAAAGCATTTTAAGTAGTTCAAGCCAGCATTCTGTGGGGCAGAGAACCAGGAACCTAAAGCTGACTGAGAATGGAAATATATAAAACAGGAATCTGTATGAAACTACTACGCTCAGGCAGGTTAATAGTAGAGTAAGCACTATTTTCCTCTTTCTTTTTTTTTCAGTAGACTTGTGACAGACCTGCTTGAGAAAGCCAGTACAGCATGCATCCATGAATGCTCTTGGTTCAAAACTGCTTTACAGTTTCCAGAAGAATCAGCTATGGAGGCAACATACCCTTTCTTTGCCAAGAGACATGACAAAAACAAATTTCTCAGATTTTAAAATGACCAGTCACTGTGGAACAATCTCCTTTCTTACTTCCATCAAATCCTAAGCTTAGTAGCTCAAAAGCATTAAGGTATGGATGGAAAAACCAGAATGAAAATAGGCTTTTAAATCTTAAAAACAGCGTTTCCAAAAAAAATATTAATATTCTCACAGATTCTTTTCCAAGTGTTTGGGGGGCTGTGTAGTTGAACTAGTTAGATGTAGCTAAATAATAGCCTGTGTCCTATGACAAATACTTTTGTCTCTATTTTTTTTATCATTTTTTCTTTCCTCTCAGGCCCATTTTCTAAAACTAAAATGTCAGTTCTGCTCACGGCATCTTTTGACCAGCATTCAAAACAGAGATCAGAGATGATAATGCCTAGGCTGTTGTTAATGACACCTACACTGTACTACATGCTCAGCCTCAAAGTTAACAGAGCAGCAGCACTGTGACAAATGTTTAATCTTGCAGATATGTGCCATCTAGCACCTGACAATATAAACCCCATTCATAGGAACTGGATGATAAAAGCACTGGACAACCCTCAACTCCTCCAGGGAAGTTGACATAGTACACACATTGTATCCATTAACAGAACAGAATACAGCAACGTAATTAAAAAAAAAAAAAAAAAAAAATCAACCCAAAATTTCTTCATACCAGCAAAACATTTTTAAAAAACCTAAAATATTTTTATAGGGATTTAAATTTTGTGAAGAAAGAAACCATCTTTTTGCCACATCAGACACAAAAGACAACAACCAAAAAAAAAAAAAAAAAAAAAAAATCAACCCAAAATTTCTTCATACCAGCAAAACATTTTTAAAAAACCTAAAATATTTTTATAGGGATTTAAATTTTGTGAAGTTCTTATTTGGAATGAAAACAAAATTCAACATTTCCACAGGAATAATAATTTTCCATAGAAAAATAAAATCTTTCTTTGACTAGTTCTGATTTGACCGTCTGTATGTACTTGTGATTTTGATATCCACGTCTATTGTTAAGTTCATATGAAAAGGTCAAGTCAAATACATTTAAATACTTTCCTTTAGTTTTAAAAGAATGGCTGACATACATATGAGGTATTCATTTCCTTCTTAATGGTGTTTCATTCTACTTGCAAAAATAATTTAGTGCAAGGCTCCCTTTAGTACTGCTTCTGCTCCTTTTAGCTGTGTTTTTCATTTATGGTCAGGCATCTAAAAAGTGAAACCTGTATTTAACCATGTTTCCATTTGTACAATGGATAACTGTAGGAAACAACACGTAGACAAATTTAAAGGACAGCTACCCAAATGTCCTTGTAAAGGTAGAAATTCAAAGCAAAATTTTCTCTTACAAATCCAACTGAGAATTGACCAAAGTCTCTGCAAATTTAAGATAAACTTGTCACAAGATTCAAAACCAGGTCTGGATTAAGCAGGAATCTTCATTAATTAACTTTTACCAAATGGTCATTTCAGCTAAAATATAAAATATCATTTTTACCCATTTAAGAATCTGCTATCACCCTGTATTTTTATAATCACTTACTAGTCTGTGGTGGACACAAGCCGTTTTCATGTTGATTTTTTAAGAATTCTTTCATACTATTAATGACAAGCTGTACCGTTTGCCCTTGATGTTCTCAATGTGAATTGATACAGATTCTCTGAAAAGGAACAGTCACAAAACTTGTAGCAATGTGCTAATTCCCTACTAGAAGGAAAGAAGTCCTGCTGAAGGATGGGCTGTGAGGCAAATCCTTGGCTTCCACCCAGCTTCAGGGTAATCCAGCATCTCTGCTGACAGGATGGTATGACTCCTGCTTGCCTAATTAATAATGATGTCCATGTTAACTGAGAGTAATAAATTTGTCTAAGAGAACCAATCATGGCTCATTAGGCAGGTCCTTTCAAATTAAGGCAGATTGCTTCTTTATCACTGAGTAGTGACATCGCCTTCTCTTCTGCAGAGGTGATCTCTTCTCTTTTGAAAGACTGCCCTCTCCAGAAGCAACACTGATCCTTTTCAATTACTTGTGTCTTTTCATTTTATGTATGATGAATGCATTAAATATTTTGGCCATTACTCATATCTTGGCCATTACTCAAATCCACTAAAATGCAAGAGACCCTCAACTTTAATTATAGTCAGTGAGAGTAGAGTTGTTATAATCTGCAAAGTTCTGTGCAATAGAAAACAAAGCTAAGTCTACCAATTTCGTGCTTATGACCTGATCTTTCCCAAGGAGGTGCTCAAGAACTGTCTGGAAGTCTGGTTTACCTGTAAAATTATATGTAATATACAGAGTAATTTGGCAATAGAGCTATAAACATTAGTGGCATTGGTGAGCAGTTTTTGACATGAACAACAATTTCCGAAAGATGCCCAAACCATCCTAATCAGAGATGTATAAGCAAACAGAAAAAATAGATGTTGAATTTGGAGATAATTTTATTTCAGCTGTTAAATGAGGTAAATATTCATGTTTGTGATATGATTTACAATAATTGTTAATAACACACAGATGAGAAAACAAACAAAGCCTGTTTTCTTTGTTAACTAGTTTAGACAGCCCTGCAAAAAGAAGTCTGTCTTAGTATAACCAAGATTCAAACCTAGCACCTCAATTCTCTGAAGATAAAAAGCATTCTCCCATCAATTCAAGAGTGCAATAACTCCAAGGCGACTGTAAAAACAAATCACATCATGCCTTTACACTTGCTGGCATCGGTACCCTGATTTTTTTACTGTTTCTCTCTCCTTTCACTTATCCACTCCATCTACATAAACATAAATCCTTCTTTCTAAGGGATTCTAATGATCCACTTCTTTATCTGAAACTTTGGGAACACTTTTCTTGAGCATCACCATTTGTTGCTATGGAGATGGTTCTAATAGCATGTACAGTCAGCAGGGAGCAGATTCACTCCAGAGTGAAAAAAATATACTGCTTCTCCAACATTTCCTCGTTAATCAAGTCATAAAGAAAAAACAACCATGCAGGCATGCATGTGTTTGTACACATCTCATCTTATTTGGCCCTTCCTAAATTTTAATTGTAAAAAATATAAGAAAAATGTTGACATTGCATGCATATATATATATATGTATATATATGCATTTATAGAAACACAGAGTGCCAGCTAAGCTAAAACTGGACAGAATATTTTTTAATGTCCAAATTTTATGAAAATATGTTTTCTCAAGGGGAAAAATAATTACAATTATAGGATAAATTTTAGTTTCAATTAAATTTCCATTAGAAGATCTGTCTGATTGCATAGGAGAAAAAGTTCATTCCCTGTAACCTAATAGGTACAGCAGTAAACTCAAATTACTTTCTTATTCTGCCTAAATAGGAAAATTAATTTCTTATTCTGCCTGATTAAAAGATGATGCAGTCTCAAAGACCCTCATTTGAATCAGAGCAAGAGTCTGTAAACAGGTTTCTCCTCAGGTAGTGCCTTTATTGTGTCTATTTCTTAATGACTTTCACTCAGAAATGTGTTTATTCTAATACCATACGAGGAAATTTTTAAAAATTTTTTGTAAAACAGACAAATCTTTTGGGGAAAAAATATTCTAATTCCTTCCAGAGAAGTACTGGTGGTTATTTTCTGTG